ACTCAACATTATATAGATACATTAATTTTGTGTCAACAATGGAAGGGACACATTGATCAATATAATCTTTTAAAACATTCATGTTTTATTAGTATGTAAATGCTTTTTAAAATTTATACTCTCTCTCTCTCTTATAAAATTAGATTGTTTTATGTTTTAATGTTTGTTTAATAATAATAATTAACATGAAATAATGGGATAACCATTGCTAAATCGAAAAGCAGCCGGTGCGAGAATAAGAGTGTTCATCAACGAAATGGAGCTTGAGGTTAGCCAGGGACCGTTCAATGTGAGAGATGCATTTGGAGAAGAGGCTGTCCTCATTGATTCCGCGGGCCAGCCCATTGTCACCGATGAATATGGCGTTGCTCTTCAACCTCTTCAACATGGAGCCTCCTACTATCTGGTTTTCTTTCCTCTCCCTTTATTATACTAGTCAAGGTTCCTACATTCACTTCATTTGTAACTTGATAGATACTACTATTGGTTAAATTGGAGTAGTAAAAGAATTAATTAATGGTTGTATAATCTTGGTTTAGAGATCTATAGTAGTAGTTTATTTCTTCCTTGGGATCTAAAATGGATAAATGCATGCGAGAGACATGTTGTTTGGCTTAGGTCAACATTGTTGACTCAATCTAATTTAATTACACACACACACCTTGCGCTTCTTTAGAGCATTCATTGGTTTTTTTTCTTCTTCTTTTTTTGGCCTTCGTGTTTTTTGACTTTTGTAGTTTAAATTCTAATACCATATTTCGTAGGATGTGCCTGCATGTGTGTGTATATGTAATTCTATATACAATACAGTATAACTTTTATGTATAGATGATTAATTTCGAGGTCTCTTTTCCTTTGCTTTTGCAGATCTAGTCGTGTGGAAGATTTTGGTTTAAAGAAGAACTTAAAACCTGTCTCTTTCTTTCACCATCTCTCGTACGTAGGCTCAAATGTTACTACTACATTTTATCAGTATTGGTTTCAGTTACATGTGACGTATGAGTTTCGGACAACATTTGGAAAACTCTCTCGTTAGATTGTTGGTCTCTGCTTGTGTTTCAAT